TTGGGATATTTAAAAAAGAAACTTATTGTTGTTATTAGTTGACAAACCGAATGACGTCATATCATGGTGGCTACTAATTCGTTTAATAAAATCACACACTAAAGATTTGATAACTAAGATTTAAATTAAAATAAAATAATTTCTTTATTTTATGAACTGAAACTAACATTTTCAGAATATTTATTGCCTAAGCTATCTTAATTGTATATTTTTAGATTTTTTCTCGTAATGACTAAAATACCTTATTGTTTCTTATATGTTGCGGAAACTTTATTTGAAATATATATATTTATGCAGCTCAATATATTTTGCAAGAGTAACGGTTAAAAAACAAAAGAAGATCCATACACCTTGCTTACCTTTAACCTTTCTCACCTTTACTTATCTGTTAATAATCTTCGATTTTGACATGAACTTTGCTCATGAGAGTATTTTTCTCACAAGATTTAAAATTATGCAGTTGGTTTAGTAATATTCAATGGTAATCTTTTATAAAACGACATACCTTTCCTTAAGAATGAGCCTCTTATTTTTACCAGTGTAAATTTTAACAATATTTTTTTATTTCTTGTGGAATCAATAAATAATAATTTATGTGTTCTGACATGAGTCTTTTTATACTAAACAGCGTAATTCTACCCAGAGTATCTAATATAAAATAAAGCAAAACAAGGCATGTGAATGTTTTCGCTTTAACATGCCCTTTGAACTTCTTGTAATGCAACCTTTGTACTCACCTGTATGTGACCTTACAATTCACGTACAAGACATGGAATGTACAAGACAAAACGAATGAGAACAGCTATGCATCAATTACTAAAATGGTAATAATATTCCATTTCTGTTCGTATGAAAGTGTCGTATTCATAGTCATAACACTTTTATTTTAATTATTCTGAAACTTATGTGAAATTTGAAAGTAAAAATATTTTTATCAGTACACCAACTTTATTTATAATTTCACTTGAAAAGATCACAAAGTTACCAATGTCATTACCCCAGCACCTTTCTATAAGTTTAGTAGTTCATGGATATCAATACAAGCTTCCAACAATATCCATGAACTGCCCAAGTGCGATGATGTGCAAATTTTTTACAAAATTAATGCTTTTTTAAATGCAAGATACCATTTGAACAGAATAACCATCCATTTGGAACTCCGCCTCGTAACGTGCTATGCTTGCATCGCTCGTTACGTGCCGGTCCTAAGCCCGGATAAAGGAGGAAGGATACGCTAAGGAAATATTTCTTCGCCGAGTAATATTTCCTTAGCACTTATAGGTTTAAATCCTGAAACGGACTTGCAGACGGTTGAATTCTCGACCGCCTTATACATTAGTCTTAGGGTGAAGGGAAAGGTTTAAGGGCTCTCCTCTTCCATTCACTCTAATTATCAGTACGTCTCAAGTCTGTTTAGGACTGGTATTCTGGTTCTACTATTCTCCATCTATAACTTAAGTATTTGTAAGCTTCTTTGTAAATATTTGGGGTCTACTGACGTGTTGACGGATTTTTTTAGTGAAAAATCCCTCATTGCGTTGGTTTCAAGTTTGGTCTAATTAATTCAAGTGTAATATAGTAAATTAATCTTATAAGTGATTAATTCCGGTACCTGAATCGTATTCCTGAAAGTTATCGTCGAAGCGCACAGTAAATTAGTTTTAAATTTTTTCATTTCGAGTGGATCCTTTTATAATAGTATTATAGATTGTAATATGTTTTAAATTTATACTGTCTATAAGTTTTTCTACATTTTATTTCGTTTTTAAGAAGACTTTGTTATTTTTTATTGTTATTTATTTTGCGCATAAGGATTGTTCATTAATAATAATTAAGTATCATGTATACTTAATTAGGGAAATAGCACAGGGTAGAGATGATGGCCCTAAATGATGTTTCTCAATATAATTTAACAGAGTCTTCTTGAACGAGACTTTTACCTCTAGTCTATACTATACATCGAAAATTCAAAGCATTCCTCATACATAGCTGCTCGTATGTTTATGTTTTGTGATTATAGTTAACTATGCTAGCAATGGATTGCGTAGTCACTTCTCTCCTTTACAATGCAAATCGATGTCAAATTTTTAATTATAGCGCGGTAGGTACAAATAATGTTAAGAAATACCTATAAATGACATATTTTCATTTTAAAATATAGACGGAAGGTGTTACAAAATATTATTGTAGTGTCATCTACAGTTAGTATCAATTCTACTCTTTTCAATGCTCAATTCTTGTATTTATGATGATTTCGCTTCGTACGTAATATAAAGATTTCCCATATTTAATTTACCGATACATTTAAAATATAAAGAATCATTTTTAGCCTTTCATAAGATTCGCATGTGTAAACTTATAATTCCACTGGATTTTTAAAATATGTGTATCATAAAGAGATATCAAATACAATATTAATTAATTTTTTGACAAATTAAAAAATATATAAGTATGCGTAGTAGTCACAGTACCTGAATTTAATTATAATTTATGTAAAATACAATTAATTTCCAAAAAATACTCATACTTTTAATTATTGACTTTCTGTATGTACGATATTTAAAATTAAATATTTAGGTCGTTTCGCAAACAGGTTTAAATATAGGGTAAAATTTTTTCAAGCAAATTTTAAAAAACCTTTGGGCGTTTATTGAGACAGAATCAATGTATGGTAGGCATATAATTAACGACTCGTAAATCATCACGATTATTATCAAAACGCTCCGTAAAGCCTTAGACTGCAACGTTACTCACATATTAACATTTTCTATAAAAAAAAAGTATACTTAGGAAAAGATACGGAAAAAATGTGAAATCTAAGGGAATTTTATGTACTATTATTGAAAAAAAAAACACATTTAAACTATGATAAATCTTCTATAAAGATATATTAGTTTTGCAGCCTACTTGCACGTTATTTCTTTTTACGAAACCAATTTAAAAATACTAAATAGTCGATTAAGACGCTTTTATAACAATTATCGAATTAATTAAAACTTAAAATTAACTGCACACATTTTCGGTAACCTGCCTTGATGTACATATTAAAATCAAAACCAATATGCGCAATATTATATTATAGAAGTGGTCTCTGAAATCATTAACTAATGACAAGGGAATAAAACGAACTGAATTATTTAATTAAAAATATGGTCGTGTATTTGTAGTATTATAAAAATAAAATAATAAAGGCAAACCTAAATAGGCGAATGACAGAATATTATTAGAGATGCATTCCCTTTTAATTTTTAATTAAACGATCACATGCGCAAGGCAAAGTGGAAAAAAATTGTAAAATACAATTTTTTTAATTATCGACTATTTACTCTTAGGTCTCATAAAAAATTAAAGGTAAAATCACTCTTAATTTTTCTAGCGATTTGATACCCATGACTAATTTTATAAGGGGAATGTGAGATAAAAACTATAACCGAGACATCAAGTTAGATCTGTTAAATGTTTTTTTTACATTTCAAATGCCTATGCACGCACTCCGTGAGTCATAGATTTGAAATTTTGGATCCTGCGTAAAGCGGTGTTTACACGGGGTCACTAATTGTCTCCGAAAATGAGGCAAGTCAGTGATGTTTCTCCGATTTCACACGTCTTTGCGCGCTCGACTTACGTTGTGTTTTGGATCGTGCATAAATACGCGTTTACAAAAGGTCAGTAACTGTTTCCGAAAATCGAGGCACGTCAGTGCTAACCTCATATAAATTGAAAATTGTTAGTAAAATTATCATAAAATAACTATAGGCTGCAGCATAATTAGTTGTCACGAATGATGTAAAATTAATTTACCCATTTAAAATATATTGAGACATTTCCCTAAATTTTCAGTATGTTTTATTGAATGTGTTGTGCTAAAGAAGTGACCAATATCTTAAGTAAGACTTGTTTCCGTTTTAAAAGGTGACCTGAAACTATGTGTCAAAAAAATGTCAAACGTGAAATTAAGTGTCAAATGAAATATCAAACGCTCACAGACGCCAAAATATTGTATTAGCAATTACTGGTATGATATCAATGTACAAGTTTAATAATTGCCTATGTACTAAAAATAAATGAATGTGTTTTTGTAAGTTATTTTAAAATTAATCCATGTTTTTGTATAACCAAAGACAATAAAAATTTAACTGAAAATATGTATTATTCACTTTGTTTTCCCATACTTATTTGTTTTAATACGGATTGTTTAATGTGGTTATAGGCATTGCATTTAAAAGGGAATAGCATATCATATTGTTTTACCCTTGTTGTTATATTCATTTATATTTAACTCTTTAACCAAAATAACCTTGTAATTTTATATCCAAATTGTTGAATTTTATTTTGTAGATCATACTAATGGCCCCTCCTTACTTACTGCAAAAAGAACTTATATAGGATCGATTATGACTAAAGGAATAAAATTCAAAATAAGTCGTATTTGAATGTCTTTAATGTGTATTTGGCTGGCTCTAATGATAATTTTGTGACAAATTTTAAGTACATATACATATTTATAAAAGGTGTGCAAATTGATGAGTTTGCAGTTAAATAAGTACAGATGCAACCGGAACATACGGCTCAACGTAATTTTTTATATCGTGGGGAATGAATTACGTCCCTGCCCCTCAAAGACAGGAGTAAATCCGGAAACCGCTTTAGTTTAGTTTATTTAGCAATACTTAATTGGTGATTTGGTGAATACAAGAGTCAAGACAGTGGACTAGCGAGTAGGCAGACGTGCTCTTTTTGTCTGGCATAAAATAAGAGTCATGTGCACGAGGCCTAATGGAGAACAGTGGTGAATTTTAGTTTGTAAAACTTGTAAGTTAAAAAATATGCCGAACATGGTTTGTTTGTAAAACTTGTAAGTTACAAAAATATTCCGAACATGGTGAACAATTTAAATAAATATGGGTATAAAGAACTCTCTGGTGTAAGGTCTGTGGTTACTGTTAACTTGTGTCTCTTTAAGATAGTATACAAGATTTCGTCTCATATACTTAACAATAATGGTACAAGTCAAAGTGACAGAAGGAATTCTTGAAGGGGAATTGGTGAATAATGATTTGGCCGGCAAGTTCTATAGTTTTAAAGGAATTCCCTATGCGGCACCTCCACTTGGTGACTTAAGATTTAAGGTAGGTATATACAAAAAGACTTAGTCGGTGTTAAAATGGCAGAATAAAGTAGTTAAATTCTTAATTGAAATAATATCAAATAGAACTATAACTTCAATTATTTCTACTCTATAACTCGATTTTATAAAAAAATATGTACTACTTCCTTAATAAATTACAGCTTAATTTATTATTTATTATAATGATGTGCTGGATCTTTAAAAAGTGTATTAGCAAATACGGGTACGAATGTGGATTGCAAGTGTTAAGACCCGCTGTAAGTAAATGTTAGATAACATTACCTATATCTTAGATTGTCTTTTAATCTTAGCATTATATGAGTTGTGGCCAGATTAACAAAGACGACGAATGTGTGGGCACTACTGGTGTGAAAATAGAAACATTTGGATGTCTTTACAAATCTATTACCCACAAAACAAGTGCCGTCAAAGGTCAGCGTCGTTAATTACACAAAACAAATATACAAAAAACATTAAAACTATAAAAACAGAAAAATAAAAAAAGGAGGTCGGTCCAGCTCCCGGTCCTCAACACAGATCTTAGAATTGATTACTCCTTGATATGGCTGGTCATTTCATATAATGATCGTTTTTCACAAAACGGCCCTCTATAACTAATCAAATCGTATAAACGACAAGGTTTAGTGTGATATGTTACTAAATGTCCATGTAAAAGCCGAATCATTAAGAATTATCAAGGGTATCCAAGAAATCTAATAATTTGTTTATGCGTTAGCGTTATGTGATTACCTATGTGGTTTGGTAAAATAATACATCAAAATTCAAGACAAATCATGAAAAATTCATAAGATCTTTGCCGAACCGGTAACTGCTAATTGTCTGTTGTAACGAGCTCCCACTAAATTTATTTTTAAAGTGCATATTGTGTCATCTTTCTACTAAATTTTCAGTGAGTAATATCATATAAAGTCAATATATTAACTGTGTCTGCGTATCAGCGCGATTAATTGGTGGTTTTGGATTGATTACCGACGCAACCTTAATACATCTTCAAGTGACATCTACTTTCCTCGTTTTTATACGTGAAGCCCATCAAAGAAATCCAGCGTATGCTGTAGATCTCTTTGCTGTAGATGCGATCGCTCGCAAGCGGAGAGTGGCGCGAGGCGCAGTCGCGGTGCGTACTAACTTAAGACCGCTGCGCAGAGACTGGCCTATCCCGCCGCGCGCCTCCTCCGACTGCGTATGGTTATCTATACCACTAAATGCGAATAATAGCAAACACTTGAACATTGCGTGTGTTTATATACCGCATGGTCCCGGTTATCGAGATTTATTGGAGTCATTTTTCGCTTTGTCAAGCGAAATTATAAACGAACGCCCCGATGACGTATATTTGTTGGTCGGCGATTTTAATATTTCAAACGCAGTATGGCAAGGCGGTCAAACTTTCTGTGAATTGCTGCAAAACGGTGGTGACTTAGCATTCAAAATCCTAAGAGATTTTTTGGCTTTTAGTGGTCTGCAGCAATACAATGGAATACCAAATGTTAGTAATCGCATTCTGGACTTAGTGTTGAGTAATGAAGGATGCAACGTTATAAGTTGTTCTCATCCTTTAACGAGGGAGGATTTGCATCACAAGACCATAGAAATTAATATAAATATCTACAACTTAACTAAGCCAAGGTCGGCACCGATTCATAGTTGTAATTTCTTGAAAGCCAATTATAATTCAATAAATTGCGAGCTTAATAAAATAAATTGGATGCAATTTTGTAATAATTTAAATCTCAAAGTATATGTCTCAAAGTTGTATATATTAATAAATAATCTAATAACGAAATATGTCCCTTGTAATTTAATTAAATCCAGTGGAAACTGTCCTATATGGTACACCAAACCTTTAAAAAACTTTTAAATGAAAAAAGAAAATGCCATAAGCGGTGGAAAATGCATGGAAATCCATTGGATTACCAAACATTTAAATTATTAAGAAAAAGAGTAAAGAGTATGGAAAATGAGTGCTATAAAAATTACATATACTATCTAGAAAGTAAAATTAGTTCTTTTCCAAAATATTTTTGGTCCTTCGTGAAAGCAATTAAAGGAAATAATACATTACCAGACACTTTGAATTTTAAAGGACAAAGTAGCAATGATAGAAAAGAGATTTCTAACTTTTTCAGAGGGGAGGATGCGATTGCCTTGAGGGAATTTTCGAACTCACCTATAAATGCTCTACTTGATATGGTCGCCATAGACTTATCTTTTGATATTCTAAATAAGTATTTAAAAAACATAAACACAAATAAAGGGGCTGGTGCAGATGGAATTCATCCATTTTTTATCGAATGAATCGGCACACTTTTGAAGTGTGCCGATTCATTGACTGATCCCTTGTTATATATATTTAACCTGTCGTTTAGTACTGGTATTATACTAAAAGAATGGAAACGCGCATTGATAACACCAATACCTAAGGGTTCTGTTAGTCATGATGTGGTCGACTATCGACCGATTTCAAAACTATGTCAATTTGGGAAAATACAAGAAAAAATTGTCACTGACCAACTTCTCGGTGCTGTCAAACGAATCATTGCATCAACACAACATGGATTCTGTAAGAAACGTGGTGTAGAAAGCAACTTACTGAGTTTTACGGAAATCTTACCAGAAGCGATGGATAGTAGTGCTCAAGTGGATGTTATTTATACAGATTTTGCCAAGTATTTCGATAAGATCTGTCACGATACTCTGTTAGCTAAACTTTGGCAGCTCGGAATCCACGGAAATTTGTTCCACTGGATAAAATCGTACATACTAAATCGTAGTCAGGCTGTAGTTTTGTCAGGTTATTTTTCCACATACAAGGACGTAACATCGAGAGTTCCACAAGGTTCCCATTTGGGACCATTACTTTTACTTTTATATGTTAACGACCTCTCAAAGGTCATGATCGATTCCAATATACTCCTTTATGCTGATGACACCGAGATCCTTAGAGTAATACGAGACACACAAGATGCAATATTACTACAAAATGATTTAAATACATTTGAAACTTTTTGCAACAAAAATGATCTGTTTCTGAATATGGACAAATGTCATGTGATCACATTTACTAGAAAAAAAAATCCAATAAATTTTTCGTATAAATTGTGTGAAAACATTCTTGATCGTGTTACAGAAATAAGGGATTTGGGAGTGGTAATGGACTCCAAATTGACATTATTTTTCCAGACGTTGACAAAATTGTACATAAATCGTTCAAACGGTTAGGTTTCATTTTACGTGTGGGAAAACCTTTTCGAAACTCTGCTACATATAAATTATTATTCAATAGTTATATACGTAGTAGAGCTGAATTCGCAAGCCCTGTCTGGAACCCTCATTATCGCATACATCAGGATAAGATCGAAAGGGTACAACGAAAGTTTATTAAAACATTGGACTATAGGACTGATAATCAACACGTAAACTATGAGTCCTCTCTCAGTTTTCATAATATGATATCTTTAAAGAATCGTAGAGATTTCATAGATATAAACTATTTGTATAAAGTCTTACATGACCTGGTCGATGCTCCTTTTCTTTTGGAAAAAATATATTTTCGGGTACCCAGGACACAAGAGAGAAGTAGTCGTAAGAAAGCACTTTTTGCATTAAATGTGACTAAAACTCACTACGGAAGCAATAGTTACATAAATAGAGTTTGTACACTATACAACGATAGATTCAGTGATATTGACATTTTTGAGACATCCTTAACTAGGTTCAAATGCCACTTCGTGCGACGCTTAAATTATTACATTATTTGGATTAAGTGTATTTTTATTTTATTTTATGTTTTTTGTGTTATAGAATACTCACTGATGTTAAAATCTGATTGCAATCAGTATATTAGAATTGGAACCTCTGTAATTATTTTTATGTATGTATTTAAATAATGTCAAAAAGTGATGTCTTTATGAAAACCTTTCAGTATATTATTAATTTCTTTTGTATTTTTTTAATGGCCCGCCGCGCACTGCGCGTGCGCCATGCGCACTGGATTTTGACTGTATGTTTGATCAAAGTGCTTGAGTGGGTATGCTTAAATGTTGTATTATATTCTTTATGTTTGATCTTTTATGTTGTTTACCGTTTCTTTATGTTAGATTTGTAAATGTATATGTAGGGAACTGTAGGTTTATATCTTGTTATTTTTTTTTGTTCATGTATTTTGTTGAAACTGTTTGTTCCTTAATAAAATAAATAATAAGATCAGTCTTCCAAAACGCTGATTATTCATTTATCTGGCTTGGATACATCATGATGTGCGCAGCACTTTTTTCTCTTTCATTAATACGACTATTATATGAAATGGCCAGCCGCGTTAAGAATTGGTCTGTCCTATTATCTGGTCACGAGATACATGTTACTTAAATTTCACAGCTAAAACCTTTAGATTATGTTAATCTGAAGCAACAATAACACCCAGATAAGAGATAATTACTTAAATATTAGGAGTCAAAGTATGAAATTTCTGTTTTATTGTAATAGGTTCCATGAATTGATAAATGTAGTAAAATAAATGCTAATGTAGGAATGTAGGGCGTAGATGCAGCAGCAAAGGCTATTTCTATAGTTTTATGGATATGTCTCAGGTTATGATAAAGACAGGATTATGACCTAGCTCCAAAGGTTGATAAAAATAAATATATTGGAGAATATTAAAGTTTTTGAGATATGAACTGAACTTAAGTTCCTATATGATTCATTACTTTAGGTCACGTGAAAGGTTAAAAACTTAAGACAATCGTCGTCGCATAGCGATCGTATTAAATTACGGTATTTTTTTCAGACCACAAAATCATAACTCTAACGAATAAACAAGGTATTTCACAAAATAATTAGATTTATTTTTTTGGACACCCTACATTAATGACATGACCAAACGTGAATTGACATATGATTTAACGTTGACGCTTAAATTATTCGATCAAATGGCTTGCCGGATCATAAAATCATCGATATGGCCACGACATATATATGTAATGTAATAAGTCGTTTATTGAAAAAAATATATATGTTGCACTGTAAATTGAACTCCCCCGCCACTGATAAACCCGAAAGGGCTTTTGTGCGCTGATGATGTACTTTTATCTTTTGCATGCAAAAATTATGTATTTTTGGACAAAAAAAAAAATTAAATAAAAAAATATTTTAACTCCCTACCGCAAGGGCTCAGGCGTTATAGATGGATGGTGGTAAGAAGGATGGGCCATGACCTTCCACGCTGGCCCAATGCAGATTGGAGGGTATACGACTGCAAATGCTTCCGGACTTTATGTGCTTCCAAAGCATGAAGTAGCTTGAGATACAAATTTTTGGTCACCCATCCCGTAACTGACCTTTGCGAAAGTTGCTTAACTACAACGACCGCCGGCCGCGGTGCTTATCCACTAAGTTACTCGGAAAATAAAATATTATTTATTGGAATCGTAATGTGTATTTTTTTTAAATTCACTTAAATGTTTTATTGTTTAACTTCAGAGACAATTTTTCTATTCATAAATTTCTAGAATGAACATAATGTAATATTTTGCCGTACAGTTAACAGCACATCAGGCTATACAAAACTGTTGAATTAAAGTAATGATAGTAGAGTAGTGAGTTTTAAAATAAAATATAGTAAGAAATTTAAGTTTTGCTATACTAGATGGCGTTTATGCTAAAGTGATCTGCAATAACGTTTCTATTAAAGAATTTTGCGTAGACTATGTTTTCAATTAAGTTTTGTATAAACTTCAGAACTGTTTTTTCATCTGTATTTCAAATTGAATGGATTAATTTATCTTAAGTTTTCAAAGATAAAGTGCTGAAACATATTGGATATTTGTTGTTTTTTTTTGTAGTATCTTCAAACTTAAACATCAAGGTAATTTCATCATCAGCTCGCGAACAACAGCTTTTTTGGAAAATATATGCTGCCCAAAGTAACTATAGATACCACGCGGATGAAGTCGCGGGCAAAAGCTTGCATATTATAAAAATAAATAAGGTTCTTTATACGACGAAAGTCGTTCACTTTTAGTGTAACAAAAGTAATAAAGAAGGCATCATAAAATACTATTTTGTGTTTAGGTGTTTAGTTTCGAAGATCTCTAAGGCATAGAGGTAAACGCGTTTGCTATGCGATGCGGAGGTTAACCAAGCAACCGTCGGTCAAAGGATGGATGGAAAAAAAAATTAATCTCGCGCTTTCGAAATCACATAAATCCATTTATCCCGGCTGCAAGGACAACTGCAGCTGTGAACAGATTGAACAATCACTCACCAACGAGCCCACATGATAACCCTTTCGCCCAATTGATTCCATTCTATAGTAGGTTATCCCATAAAGGGAAAGTCTGCGTCCCGGTTGTGAGGGCATTAATAGACATGATGACGATGTTAAGGATTAGGATCAAAAAGAATTTAGCAGATTTATACGAAGATGTTTTTGTAAGATGTAACTGCATGTTAGCTGAATTGTTTAGTAGTGGACATGGAAATTAGGTACTGTATATTAATCATAATAACAAATTACGATAAGTCAACAAGGATCACAATAAATTAATCGTTGTCAAATCAAAAACTATTCTAAATATAAACGGTGCAATTTAATGGAATTTGCACAAACAAGCAACAATGATGAATACTTAGTCAGGTGTCATTTATTATAGTATTATGAATTGTGAAGAGCAATGCTTAGTGTTTCTCTACGTGATCGTATTATGAATGAAGAGATTCGTAGGAGAACTATCGTTGCTGAGATTGCTCGAAGAATTGCTAAGCTGATGCAAAAAGCTAAAAGAACCGACGGCCGTTAGTGTGGAAAGGTTCTGGAATGGCGATCGCGATCTAATGGCGTTCAGTGGGAAGGCCCCCACCAAGTGTGCGGACAACCTTATAAAGATTGCAGAGAGTTGCTGGTTGCGGCCCCCTCTAATCATCTTGACCCCCAGCGTCCAACACGAGAGTCCAGGGCGACTCTACGACGGAGTGGAGACACCTCCCCGTGGGGTGATGCCTTCCTAGTAGATAGTCTCGGGACGATCGTCATCTCGGCTTTGACGTCCTAAGGATCTCGCCATCCCTTAGTCCGGTTACACTGTAAAGGCTATCTGAGGGCAACAGTAACACACAGTCCATAAAAAAGCTGGTTGCCGGCAGAGCTAGATCAACCGGCTTGGAGATTTGTGGGGGAGACTAATGGCGTCAATCGCGTACTGCTGTTGATGATGATGAATGAATGCAATTAGAGCGGTTTTTATCAAATATCGGATATCGTGCTTACTTCGGATAAAAGTACTATAATTAAACAAACAAAACAATCACGAATACGTAAACATGACATAAAGTAAGAGCATTTATTTTTAGGTCATACAATTGATTATACTTTGAGTCATTTACCTTTTTTTGATTTTTGCAAAAGGCTAGCCAGTGCAAACTATGCTCTTTTAAAATTAAAACCGTTTACTGACAGACAAATTATGAAAACTATTTATTATGCATATGTACATTCTTAAAGTTACTTATTTAGTTACAGTATAACAGCATGGGGAAATAGCGTAAATGTTGAGAAAGTTCTAATAGCACAGAAAAGGAATAAAAAGAAGGGAACCAGCGAGGAAGCATTTTGTGAAAAATAAAATCATAAAATATCTAAAATAATATTTTATTTTTGTGAAAAATAAAATAATAATAAATCATAAAATCATGTCAAAAAGATGGATCTATTTTTTTTATTTCATCATCTAGACAATGTCTTATACATATTGGTTTTGGGGACTCCTTTTAAACAAATCTTTGCTTGTATTGGGAGATCCTACTCTTCCATTAACATAATACTGTGTTTGTATATGTGAAATTTTAACAATTTTATATCTATAATTATATGCACGCGCGCGGTGTATGGGTGCGTGTGCGTGTATGAATGTGTGGTGTGTGTCTCTGTGTGTGTGTGTGTGTGTGTGTGTGTGTGTGTGTGTGTGTGTGTGTGTGTGTGTGTGTGTGTGTGTGTGTGTGTGTGTGTGTGTGAGTGAGTTTTCCTATTTTATTATTTAATATTAAGTTATTGTTAATAGCATAGATTAAATTTCTTCATATTCTTTTTCTTTTAACCAATCAGTGAGGACATGTTTGTTTACATAATTATATAAATAAGGTGATCTTATATTCTATTGTCGCTGTACAAAGTTGATTTTACTATTTTTATAGGTGCGGTACGTTTCCTTAGTAATGTCTTTAGAATATATAATTTTCTCACACTTAAGATCTCAGATTTTCTATATAGTCTGTCTGTAGGACATCTATATGATTTAAAAAACATTACTTTTAGTAATGATCTTTGTGCCCTTTCAATTTCAATAAATTTAGATTTTGTTGCACCTCCCCAGATTGGTAAGTAATATGCTAGTATAAACTCTGCCAGAGATATATAAATTTGTTTTAAAATAAAATGTGGCAGTATGTCGTAGTTTTTTTGAAAGTGAAAATAAGTTTTATGATTCTATTCATTATTAATTCAATATGCATATGCCAGGATAGTCTATGAGCTACCAATTTACCTAAATACTTTATATGTGGTACCTTATTCAACATTAAACAGGAGCAATTTACAACGTTTTTACATTCGTGTATTTTAATTTTGTAATCTTCAGGTGGTTGAGTTCGTTTATCTTTTGTGAAACAAATATAATTAGATTTTGTGACATTTAATGTTATAAGATTCGAGTTTAGCCATGAAAATATTTTTGTCATTCCTATTTCAGCAGATATTTGATCGTTATCCCAAGTTTTTCCAGCAAAAATAACGGCGGAGCACATGAAAAAAGGTTTCCATTTTCAATTTTTATAACACAGAAGTCGTTAATATAAAGAAGGAAAAGCGTCGGGCCTAGAACACTTCCATGTGGTACTCCATAAGCGACCGGAGCTTCCGAGCTGAGAGCTTTTCCTATTTAACCATTTGTGTACGGACCTGTAAATAATCTTTAAACAACTTCAGTGGTGATCTTCTTAATCCACCTTCTGCAGAAGTATAGAGACTGAAACCATATCGAAAGTTTTTTTAAGGTCCAGGAAAATAGCCATACACTTGTTTCCTTAGTCAACTTTTTAACGACATAAAAAACTACTTACCAAATAATTATTATTTGATTTTATGGAAAAATTACAAACATACTTATATCAGAGCATTATATATAGGTATTTGATCCAATCAATCACGTCATTACTTATATGATATCATTCAAAACACTTCAGTTTTGGACCTCAAACTCTATAAATAGGCAAGAAAAGACCCTACCGGTACTTGCGTTGAACATTAAACTCCACTTTTTCGATTTTGATGTCAGTTTAAAAATAGAGGCAATAAACACATATTAATTTTGTTTTAGGCACCTCAACCACCAAAGTCTTGGCAAGGCGTAAGGAGTGCAATAAACCACGGTCCACAATGTCCTCAATATAATGTAATAACAAAACAAGTTGAAGCCGGTAGTGAAGATTGTTTATATCTCAACGTCTATACACCTAATTTAAAACCGTCTGTGCCTCTACCAGTTATGATATGGATTCATGGAGGATCTTTTTCTTGCGGTAATGGAAACGATGATGTCTATGGCCCTGAATTTCTTATAAGACATGGAGTTATTCTCGTTACAATAAATTACAGACTCGAAGTGCTTGGCTTCCTTTGTCTAGATACTGAGGATGTTCCAGGCAATGCAGGAATTAAAGATCAAGTAGCGGCTATGAGGTGGGTTAAGAATAACATTTCTAATTTTGGTGGAGACCCGAATAATGTAACCCTCTTTGGACAAAGTGCTGGTGGTGCATGCATTACATACCATTGCGTATCACCAATGACAAAAGGGCTTTTTAAAAGAGCTATAGCTCAGAGTGGTACTATGGCAAACTGGTGGACACAATCCTATAAACCACGTGACAGGGCAATTGCTCTAGCAAAAAGGTTAGGGTGCACATCAGAAGACGATAAAGAACTGTACAAGTTTTTCATGGAACAACCGTGGGAAAATCTTGTTGGTATTCAAGTTTCATTGACATGGAAAGAAGCAGAAGTTGCAAAAGACGGAGTACTAACAAGATTTTCAGTTGCAAGTGAAAAAATATTTCCAAATGAAGAAACGTTTTTCACAGGGGATGTAATGGATGCTATAAAGAATAATATTCACGAAGGAATAGAATTAATTGTTGGGTTCAACGAAGACGATGGAGTCATATGTTTTGCACTTATATATGACATTGAAAAAACTATCAGCCTGGCTAATAATGATGACAGTTATTATTTTATACCCATAGCCTTTGGACAATCCTACTCAAAGGATGAATTAAAAGATGTTGCAAATGAAATTAAAAAAAGATATACGCAAGGAAAAATTATCAGCAAAGATAACTTAACGCCTTTATCACAATATTATTCAGCAGATTCATATAGATTTCAAATATTGCAGTTTGCAAAATATTTTGCAGCAAAAAATAAAACCTATTTTTATTTATTTTCATGCGTTTCCGAAAGAAATATTTTTGCCAAAATATTCAATGTCTCCCATTATTTCACGAAGAATGTAGTTTGCCATAATGATGATATTGCATACCTTTTTCCCATCAAATCCGTTAAACAAAATATTTCGAAGACGTCAAACGCGTTTAATTTGATCCACAGAATGACGAGCCTTTGGACTAATTTCGCTAAAAATGGGTAAGAAATAATTGTTTTTGTGATAACGAAGAGGTTGAGTAACATTCGCAAGATTCGGTCATAGCTCTTCCGTGTTTCTAAATTTCACATTAAGCAATTAGTCTCGGTTACATTAGCAGTTGTTCGCCTCCAATCCGCACAGGTCGATTTTCTATTGGATTCTATATATTATATTTAAAGTTAATAGAAATTTTTCGTCCTTAAAATATTAGACTTTGGAAAATGACTTAGAGTTTTCTAATAATAGACATAACCATTATAATGTCTACATATTGACTTTTGTTATAATTAAAAATAATTTATTAAATATCTGTATTCTTTTAGAAACCCGACACCAGACACCAAGCTCGGTTGTAATTGGCGACCGTTCAACGCTAAAACGCAATCCTATTTGAATATTGGAAACGAATTGGCCAGAGAAATGGCGCCGTGTAAAGAAGAAATGCAGTTTTGGGAGCAAATATATGAAAAATACTTCAAAGAAAAGGTTTATCGACCGGACAAATAAAAATGTTGCAAACTTTCACAGCATTTTTGGCACTTCATGAAGATATTCCTGCTATTTTTTAGAACATTTTATTTATTAAATATCATAAATTTAATTATACTTTGTCTTTGAATCTACGATATTTTTATTCAATATACACTAGGCATCGAATACAATTTTAGATATGATAAATATATATAAAAAACAACATTCTTAGCTTTACGGCCGCACACCACTTTCTAACAATCGTATCTATAGCTGCGAGAATTAAGTACTGTTTATAGCTAATTATACTTTATATCTCTCCCGAAGATGATTAGGGCTTACATGTAGCCGTACACGAGATGCTGCCGTCCTCACCATATTTCAAAAGTTATTTTTAATAAATTTTAAGTAAAAAAACTTTATTGACTATCCACTTTTTACGCTCCCCCGCAGGCCCCCACCTTTGGTGTCGTCCAAACCACACGTATTTTTCCTCTTCAATATCTTGTGAGTAAAAATGTTTAACAGTATGAATAAAAGAAAGCGATCTAGTAATATTGATAAAGATTAAACAGAAATCTGATCATTCTGTGTTATGCGCATACGGTCGGTTAACTGCGAGGAGTATTATGGTGTTGCATTGATTCTTTGTTTACTTTATGTGCCCCCAAATCAGACAACTAAATAACGTATTTGCGCCAATCACATAATAACTGCAGTCGAGCGCAGCGTACGCCGCACCGCACCGCACCGCACCGCACCGCACCGCACCGCACCGCACCGAACCGCACCGAACCGCACCGAACCGCACCGAACCGCACCGAACCGCACCGAACCGCACCGCACCGCACCGCACCGCACCGCACCGCACCGCACCGCACCGCACCGCACCGCACCGCACCGCACCGCACCGCACCGCACCGCACCGCACCGCACCGCACCGCAACGCACGTAGCAGTACGCACGGGTATAGTAATATGGCAAATAGTAATTACGGTAACCGCAGCGTGACATAGCTGCCCACTGCCGCCGCAAGGTTTAGTTGTTTACAACAATCGAATAACATCAATTGTAATCGACTTTTTTCGACTAAGCTGAACGCTCCAAATTTATTAAATTTTTACGACATTTCCCGCTAGGGTGAGTTTTAAGTGTTTGTTATTCAGTATTCCATTGTAAAGTGTTTCAGTTTCATCTTAAAGGCATGTAACGCTAGTACTGATCCATATTTCCTACTTATTAGAACGCTGCGTCCTTGGACTCACAAGGTCAACGGTTTTTTCAAATCTGCGTTTCAATCTACTAATATTACCTATCTCTCTGGACTTCCAGGAATTACGTATGTTTATAAATCATCCGAGGATGTCACCAGCTTGGTGAATTTAGTTGCAGCTATATTTAAACAAAACCTGAACCACTATACCATATATAGAAACGCTAAGGAGTTTTTTTGAGTGAGAAATGGATGATCGTGTGATCTAAAGGATAACCGAAGAAGACGAGGAGTTTAGGCCAGTGTCCCTTCTTTCCTTATCACAACCGAGGTGTAAGGCGGTCAGACAAAATTAATTGGGCAATAAATTTTTTTTTTTTTTTAAGTAACGTTGCACTATTTGAACCTAGACCCTATCCGCCGCAATACTATAGATTTTTTTTATGAAAGAACAATAAATAGTCAAATACGTCCAGAAAATAAACATACCGAGCACAAATATATCTCGACTTTTGGGTGTAGATATTTACTATTTAAATTAAACTATAACCCGACTCAAATCGTTTGTAAATAAACAAGGGCTACAAGTATGTACCCACTTCACCAATTTATCAAAAATGATTATATATTTTAATAACGTAATTAAATATTTGAATTGGACATTATTTTAAAACAAACAAACAAACACCGTGTCAGGAGAAACTAAAGAAAAGCTTGTAGATTAGCAGGACCGACAATTGCATGCTATCGATATATGGCTAAATAATAATGGGTCTAAGTACATAATTGAAGATAACCTCCTCTTAATTGCAATCTACCCTAATTATAGCAAATAAAAAAATATTACTATTAATATTATATTATACTAATCAACTACATCTACAATTTACATTTAACTATATCCTGACGTAAATCGTGTGTGGACTGTGGATAGACAACGACGTCATTGAGTACGTACCTCTGCTGCACAAATTTGGTTATAGTGATCGATTACAACTAAAATTTACATTTAACTATATCCAGACGTAAATCGTATGTGGATAGACAATATACTGACGTAAATCGTGTGTGGATAGACAATATACTGACGTAAATCGTGTGTGGATAGACAACGACGTCATTGAGTACGTGCCTCTGCTGCACAAATTTGGTTATAGTGATCGATTACAACTAAAATTTACATTTAACTATATCCAGACGTAAATCGTATGTGGATAGACAATATACTGACGTAAATCGTGTGTGGATAGACAATATACTGACGTAAATCGTGTGTGGATAGACAACGACGTCATTGAGTACGTACCTTTGCTGCACAAATTTGGTTATAGTGATCGATTACAACTAAAATTTACATTTAACTATATCCAGACGTAAATCGTATGTGGATAGACAATATACTGACGTAAATCGTGTGTGGATAGACAATATACTGACGTAAATCGTGTGTGGATAGACAACGACGTCATTGAGTACGTGCCTCTGCTGCACAAATTTGGTTATAGTGATCGATTACAACTAAAATTTACATTTAACTATATCCAGACGTAAATCGTATGTGGATAGACAATATACTGACGTAAATCGTGTGTGGATAGACAATAAGGTCATCGAGTATGTAACTTAATTTCACAATTTTATAATACTAATCGCCTACAACTACAATTTACATTTTAGTATATCCCGAAGTTAATCTTGTGTGGATAGATAACGAGGTCATCGAGTAAGTCCCTCTACTTCACCGATTTTGTCGCACTAATCGACTATAAATTATCTCGATCTACAATTAAAACTAAACTATAACTCGACGTAAATCGTTTGTGGATAGACAGAGGTCATCGAGTATATACCTACTTCATCGATATTGTTGTACTGAGAAACTACAATTTATTTCAACATATATCGTGTAACAAAGATAAAGATGGACAGATAGATTATTTATTGCATCATGTGGTAACAAAGGTCTTTACCCTAAACTTTGTAACCTAAACAGGAGCTTCCTAGAGGTATTTCACTTTTACACTATTTAAAATTTTAATTAGTAAAATATTAATCAAATATTATGTGTTTATAATATAATATTTGGCTATATGGCAAACTTGCATAATTATGTTAAGATTATTGTTGTAATAAATTTATGTTTATTCTAGTCTATCCGAGTGGATAGTATTAGATAAAGAATAGTACTTAGTACGAATATCTAAATTAAATTTAAATTCACATTCAGATTATGTATGATCGCCTAAATGTCTGAAAAAATAAATATTTTTTTCAACAATACAGATACGATGAACCTTTTAAAAGTGCTTTTATTTAGTAGTTAAGCATGTGAAAACATAAGAAACACGAGTATTGTGAAACGATATCTAACTACCCGCAGAAAATTGCACTTATGTGTAAGTACAAAAATCTAATAGCTTTTGGCAATTAATATTCTAAAGGAATATAATTAAAACTTTAGTGATAACTGCCACTTAATCTGCAAAACCCACTATAGGGAACTTGCCATTATTAAACTAAAAGAAACATAAGAAAAATACAAATATCCCTCTATAAAGCCTGCATAAAATCTACTATGAATCGCTGAAGGTATATCCAATTAGGCTAGCTCTAATGAATGTCAAACTTGTATGAATAATGTCACTTTAAACTAATGAAAATGTTAATGGACGTCTGTGCAACTGGCTGTAAATGAATAATATTTAAAGTTGATTTTTTAAGCAATTTTCATTATGAATATTTTTTGGTATAGCACTATGAATGCTAAAATTGATAAATAATAATAAAAGAATTACAGTTAAAGCATGATGTCAAGTAACTGCTTAATATTAGCCTTAAATTTTATCAGAGAATTGGAAAAATGTCAATGTCAACAAAATACTGATTAGAGACTGAAATTTTACTTTTAGATTTAAGTGAACAATTTTATGAGACATTTTTGTAAAAAACATTGTAGGCTATTACTCATCTATCCATCTGTGAGTTGCTACCCTGACGTGATCTTGAGAATCTACAAATGGTGTGAATGCAGAAAATCTTAGAAGATGTAATGGTATGCGGATATTTATTTTACTTAACACAGTGGATGTATGACAAACGCCTGTGGTTGTCCAGCGAATGTAGCTTATAATAACGAAGTTTGCCGATATAAGTTGGCAACTTTTTGGCCATGTTGCACCCGTACGAACGATGCCACAAAAATTGTTTTTGAAGTCATTTAATTCTCTTTATATAAATATCGTAGTTAGCTCGGTGGTGTAGTGGATAAGCGCCGCGGCCCGCGATCGTTGTCGTTAAGCAACTTTCGCAAGGGTCGGTCACGGAATGGGTGACCAAAAATTATTATCTCGGGCTACTCCGTGCTTCGGAAGGCACGTTAAGCCGTTGGTCCCGGCTGCATTTGCAGTCGTTAATACCCCCAATCCGCATTGGGCCAGCGTGGAGGGTCATGGCCCATCCTCCTTAACCATCCATAAGGAAGGCCTGAGCCCTGCAGTGGGGACGTAAAAGGGCTGGTGATGTGATGTGATGTGATATCCAATTACGTGGATCTTACACTCTAAACACCAGGGGGCGATTAGAGTTTTGCCTAAAGCTTCACTATTCCCTGCAAACCCCAGTGATACCACTGCAGCCGCCGCGGACACGCGGCGCAGCACCGCGTGACTGGGTACCCATTAGCATTGACTATACCAGAAGATAGATAATTCTATCCCTTCACTGCACACATATCTCAACCTGATATCAAAGTTATTATCAGGCAGGCATCATTAGCGAGAGGCATTATATGTATTGTCATAAAATATATCTGTAAATATATTAA